TCTTCCGATGTCTTACCCCTCCCCATCTCCTCTCCATCTGGCTCCTTGTCCCGTAGCCCCTCTCCTTGCTCTGTCTCCTCTGAGGACTGTATAACCGTGACGACCCAGGAGTCTCCTTCCAAAGAAACCGAAAGTAAGACACCTTCTCGTTTGTCTGCTCTCCCCACGTCCAAGGCTGCTAGCACAGGAGTTTGCAAGCCTCTTGGATGTTACCCCAACAGCAAAGAACTTGCCAACTATCACCGCAACCATTACAGGGATTACCTGCCAGGTGGCCCACCCCATTCCGAAAAGACCCAGAGGAGTCTTTTGCCATGGACCCCGGATGGTAAATCCAGCACCAGACTTACATCCTACAGGATGCCTTCACCTGCATACACCAGACCCTGCTGGGTCCCTCATGCCTCCAGCTTCTCCAAGGTCTTACCACGAGATCCTTGCAGACCTGTGTCACTACAGCCCACTTTTAAACCACACATGTCCTACCACCAGCACCTCCTAAAGAGGCCCATCACCGATGAAGCCTACTTCAAGAAGATACCAGTGGGCTCTCCACTTCGCATTATGGACAGGAAAGAGAAAGCAAAGACAGTGTTGCCCAAGCCTCTGCCTACCCAGCAGTTATTCTTCCACCCTCATCCCGGTATAACAATGCCCTACCTGCCAACCATAGAGCGATATCGGGCAGACTTAAACGAACAGTTGAAGGCTCTACCTCTTCAACATGTATTTCTTCCAACCCATCTAACAATACCTCCTGCTCAGACCCACTCGATGCATTGCCCGCCAGTGGGCACCCCTTTTCCTGGGTCTTACGAGGCTGCTTTGCCCTCCTACCCTTACCCATTACCCATCTGGCATCCACCTGCTGGGTACAACATGGCAGGCCTGCAGCCATACTGAACGATTCTGAAACAACTGGTTGTTCAGATCTATAGGTCAACGTGAAACCAAAATTGATGTTTACTTTCTCAATACAGACTTCTTCACATGTTAGTAGAAAACTGAAGGATCAAGTCAATTTTCTTGATCAATTTTCAGGATAATTTTACATGAAGTAAAATGGGTTGCAGGGTGTTTCATGTTCATTTTAAAAACTAATGCTAACTGAAGGAGTTACATACATGGTCCTGTAGCTCAGCTGGTAGAGCATGACACTTGCAGCTGCAAGGTTTTGGAATCAATTCCCAGTGTATACACAATACTGATAAAATGTAGCAGTGAATGCACTGTAAATCACTTTGGATAAAAGCGTCTGCCAAATGCGGTTAAAATGTAAATGCTACATGTTGATATGTTCATCAGTGTATCTATATCTGCAAAAGAGAATAGCCTCCTAGTTGATGTGGAATAGGTATAAATAATCTTTTTAATGCCATTCTTCGTATGAATACCAATTACTTTGTGGTACAATTCAGGGTCCAATGTGAATAATCAAGTTTCTTGTATCTTGATAAATAATTTCCAGGGTTGGTCTGGCTCAAATAGGAATATTCACATAAGGGTACATCCTAGAAATTGTTTTTTTTACATTTATATCACAGTCTCAAGGCCCTCGACAAGACCAATGTGTTTGACAACACACCAATAATGTGAAACATGTCTGTAATGTATAGTTGTACATTGCATACTGAATGTAAAAAATATTTTTGTATAAAATAAATGTCAAGATCATGTCAGGTCTTCAAGACACTTCCTGTGAATCAACTGCAAAGATTCTAGCAATGAGATGCACACAAGACACATCAACACTACGTTTATTTTAAAGAATAGTTCAACAAGGAGAGCATTCAATCTCAAGACTTTCAAAGTAAATGGAACATATTTTGAGTCCCACATAATCAGGAATGTACTATCTTTGTCTAAACATTGAAAAATCAAAGACAACGCCTGTAGACATCTCTTTTGCAAGAATGTGCTAAAGTAACAGCTCATTTATGTAACAGGGCAAGGAATGCATTGCATTTGTAAGGAAAATCTGGAATGTTTAAGCAGCTGATACTGCACAGCAAACAACAGGGCATGTAAACTACTCCTCCAAAAATAATGAAACCAACATTCACAATTAGGAAAACCCTGCCGAATCTTGCGTTTCAGATTTGAAGAAAGCCTGTTTTCTTGATGTTAAATTGCTTTATCTGCTTTTGTGAAGCATCTAATGAGAAAGAAATAACAAGGCCCCTATAAAGTGCAATTCTATTCTTCAGAACAGGGAACATCGAAGGGGACTGTGCATTAATAAGAGTATCTATGGTGTTTGAGTCAGGATGGGAGTGTCTCTGCTGTGAAGTGTATATTTCAGTGGGGTAACTCGTGTGGAACAAGTTTGTAGTAAGTGCCACAGGATGGGCAGCGCTGGGCCTCTCCCTGATGCAACCAAAACCATACCACTGCAGTGTTGTCCTCTTCACCTTCATAAAACAGACACATATGTTAATGGGTTTGACCAAAGATCAATATGTTGTTGTTATGATGGCTCATACTGGTAAGAAACTCATAGAACTAATATGACTATACAATTTAACTGATATCAAAATGGTGGTTAAATTATACTATCACTTACAAACACAACCAACAATCCTCTTGTTGGTTATGGAGGGGACAATATGAGGGTCTTGTTTGGAGCCTGCGTACTCCTGCGGTTTTAAGATGCTATATGGATCCTAGTGAAGAAGACAGCATTGATTATTCACACAGCAGTCTTTATTTCACAAGAAGCCACAACAGAACAATAGAACACAGTACAAGACGCTTACAGTTCCTCTCTTTGACGCCTCCAACACAATCTTCTCCAGACCGGTGGCCTGCTCATCATCTGTGGGGATGCCTGAACTCACAAATTAATCATATTACAGACCATGTTTGCAAGGTGTACTGATGTTCACAAACATTATATTTTTGTTGTTCTCCACATTTTTTTTTTTTTTTATCATTTGGCTTGAACTACTTAAAGGTACTACTGGAAGCCTGATTCAGCCTCTTCATGAAAAAAATACTCATCAATTATTATTAAGTAAGTGACATACCAAGACATAATTATGAGTATGCCACGTCAAAATGATCACAAAAAGTAAAACTTATGAGAAAGCCATAGTTATGACATAAAAACCAATTCAAAATTAACTTTTTGGTCCTAATCTGAGTTATCATAATTATGCCTTCTTCAACGACAAAAGAATTATACCTTTGTTATGATTATTGATCTATATTGTACAGTTATGATGACATAAAACCTCATAAATATAATAAAAAAGATACACTTTTTTGGTCATCATTTCGAGTTATAATTACGACTTAAATTTAATTATGACTCAACGTTTATCTCATGAATGCATTTTTTGGATATCATTTCAAATTAATCTTAAAATTATGATTTACTGAATCATTTTTGGCTTATGTGGCAGATATTGGCATGAAACGCAAATCTATTTTTCCCTGCCATTATTGTTAGTATGCAACAAACTATTTCTATTTCCTGCAAGTGCAGCTGTGACTAAATAGGATGACAGCAAGATGAAGTACGAATTCACGGACAACTCTTCAAGGAGGAAATAACGATGAAGTTGTAGCGACAAAAGTGATACAATAGTTGCATTCGAGCCCGTGTAATTATCTACAGATGAACGTATATTTGAGGCGGAGGGTGAGAGATGCTGCTGCAAACAGGCGATATCACTATCGACCCAAGCTGTGTTTTCCAGCGCAAACCGTCCAAACACGCTCACACAATAAAGCCATTGATCGACCAGTCCCCTGACTAGAGCCGCAGCTGGCAGAGGCCGACGGCTGTAAACAGCAGCAGCAGCGCGAGTCGCTGATCTGTGATCTCAAAACAAGCGAGAGCGAGGTCTCTGCAGAGCAAAAGTGGGCGTTTCTGAATTTATTTATTTATTTATTACAGGGACAATGCATATTAATAAACATTTATGTCAATATGCCAGAGTTAGCCAGAAGGCTATTTTTCACCTGCAGTCCCTAGACAGATGGTAATAGTCACCCTAAAAGAAAGTAAAATTACATATTTACATAACAATAAAACAATTACAATACATTTAGTAAAAAGTACTATTGAGCTATGATGTACAATAGAAACACAACAGACCAACAATCAGACAAACATCAGACAAATACATGAACACATACACACACACAAAGCAAAAAAACCAACAGGGGGCAGCGAGAGCAGGTCTAGTAGTAAGCTAATGTTGACAGCTCTGATTATCAATGAGCCATTTCTTTAACTGGATCTTAAATGTACTATATATGTTTAGATTTCTAATATTTATGGGGGTGAGGTTCCACTCAGTAGCAGCTCGAACAGAGAAGGCGGTTTGGCCAAATACACTTTTCCTAAAGGGAATGATACAATCTCCCCTCGCTTGCGCCTCTCTTTTTTGTAGGTGTTTTTAAACTGCAGGGTGTTTCTCAATCATGCAATCACAATGATCCCCCTTACCTAACCCCACCCCTAAACATACGTCACTGTGACGCCAGCCAATCAGGAAACATGGTCTAAAAACGCCCCGATCTGGTAACTCCATAGAATACAAGAACTCATAGAGGTAACAGCATAGAATAAAACCAAATACAATAACAATCAGCATCAAACCTTAAGGGGATCCACAATACATGTAAGGCAAAAAAAAATAAAAAAAATTCCCATTACTTTCCTGCACAACAATTCTGAGCGAGACACTGCGCATGCGCCGCAGTCTGGACGACTGAAACAAAGGACAAGGAAAAACTTTTATATTGATAGAAATGTTCAAAATGTGTCCAGTCGGCAAAAGTATTATTATTATTAATAATACAAAGTGTTTTATATATGTATAACATGAAGTTTTAATATAAAGTTTTTTTTATTATTTTAATTTTCATTTAGAAAACAACATATGCAATCAGCATCTTGGGTTACAGTCTTGTGGAGACAGTATAAAACAATGTCTAAAATGTACAAAATACAATACAGTATAGTGCCGAGCGTGCAATGTTCATCTTTACACATAATATACAAATTATACTCAGTGCACAGTGTGTGCACCTAAATTGCAGTGTCCACATTTACAGAAGATTTGCCAGTTAAATATCAGTGTCTGGTACAGCATGTGAAAAATATCTGGTAATAGACATCAGTATACTGTAATAAAGAAAGAGGAGAATGATAAAGGAACAAAGAATCACGCAAAATTCACAAATACTGAGATTCTACTCAAACTGCATGTTTAGCTGAGTTCACAACATCTGCATTTTCTAAATATTTTCGATTGGGAACTAAAATTATAGGCCTATATTAAAATGTTATTATTAAATATATAAATATATCACTAAAACAAGCCTCTCGTCTCATCTTTATTAAAACACCTATCCTACAAAGGGTTGTTTCTGATGACTTTGATGTAACTTGCTCCTTCTGTGATCACCAAACTGAAAATGTGTTTCTTTTTTTGTTTTGGTATTGTATTTTATTACTAAGAACCTCTGAAAAAAACATAATGAGTGTTTTTTTTTTTTTTTTGTGGTATAATTCCTGATATCTTTTTGAAATATGGAAATGTTATTCTAGGATATACACATGAGAGCGAACAGTTAGATGTTTTTTTATTTATTCAACCTTATTTTGTTCCTGGCTAAATATTTTATACATAAATGTACATTTTGTAATTGCCTTTCTTTTGCATTTTTCTTGAAGATTTAAAACTCGTCAGAAAAAAAAGTGATTTGAAACATAACAAATGTGTTTGATTTCTGACTCTTCTTATAATAAAGCTGTAAAAACTTTGAATCTGTTCAAAAGTTACATTATTGTCTTGCTCCCTGGCATATGTTATACTGGCATTCTGTTACATTTGTTTATAATAATAATAATAATAATAATAATCGATTCTTTATGAAAACACCTCATCTTTGTTTTGACTTACGCAGACTTACGCAACTCTAACCGGCTTGAGGACACGCTGACGCCATCACGTTGATGTTTTTTGGCGCGAAATTCCCCGTCAGACGGTTCCGCGGTGGTCGAGCGCGGGAATGTAAACAGCGCAGAGTTCGGGATTAGTTTCGCGTGTCTTGTGGAGTTTGTTGGCGGCTGCAGAGTGTCAGGACTCAAGGATGGCAGACGGACCGTCGGACGCCAGTGACCTGAGCGCAGGAGAGGAGAGCCGGGAGGAGGTGATGACCCCGGCGGAGCTCATCGCCAGACTGGAGGAGGTGCTCAGATCAACACAGTGCAGTGTTTTCAGACAAGCTCACGGTCAGTTTGAAGTCAGATGACAGTACACTGCTGTTCAGAAGTTTGGGATCAGTACGATTGTAATGTGGTTTAAAGAAGTCTCTTCTGTTCAAGGCTGCATTTATTTGATCAAAAATACAGAAAAAAACTGTAATATTGAGAAATATTATTATAATTTTAAGTAACTGTTTTCTAGTTGAATATATTGTAAAATGTAATTTATTCCTGTGATGCAAAGCTGAATTTTCAGCATCATTACTCCAGTCTTCAGTGTCACATGATCCTTCAGAAATCATTATAATTTGCTTAATTATTATCAATATTGGAAACAGTTTTGCTGCTTAATATATATATATATAATTTTATTTAATTTTTTGGAACCTGTGATTATTTTTTCAGGTTTCTTTGATGAATAAAGTTTATGTAAAATAATATTTTCTAACAATATAAGTCTTTATTTTCACTTTTGATCAATTTAACACGTCCTTGCTGAATAAAATCATTCATTTCTTTAAAAATAAAAAAATACTGACCCCAAACTTTTGAATGGTAGTATATATTGTTACAAAAGGCTTCTATTTTTAATAAATACTGTTCTTTTTAACTTTTTATTCATCAAATAATCCTGAAAAAAGTA